TATTATATTAAATTTTAATTTTAAAAACTTTTAAAACAAATAATCATTCAATAAGTACATAAATATACATTCGCAAGTTACCTATACTTATTGAGTTAAATACCAAATATAAAATTTTCAATATTTAAATAAATAACGAATCTAAAAAATTATACCTAAAAATTTTTAAATTAAATATTAAATATATTTCATATTCAACAGGTAAAAAAGAAATGCTCACCCCGTCTTCTTAAGCATTTCGTCAAACAGTCAGAAGGCATTAATTTATGGCCTCGGAGATTGGTTGGGCTTTGCATGAAGTTATTTAGGTTCCAGAGAAAATTCCAGCCCATAATAACCCATAGTGTGTTTAGCTTCCAATACAAAGCCCGGGCCCAATTAAACATAGGCGGGAAAGATAACGGACTACACTCCAGATTGCTTCTTCTCCCCCATCGTCAGTCTCAGTCTGCACAAAACCTAAAACCTTGTTCCGCTCAAGATTTCTGAACTAAGAAATGGGGATAAAGGTTTGTAGATTCCAACTCCAACAATGGAAAAGTTGCAAACTTTTATCTTTACCTGGGCTCTTATTCATTTTACAACTATTGGGTCTTTTGTTTAGGGTTTGACGAAGCTTCTAGCTGACAATGCACCCAAGGCAATGAAGGAGCAGAAATTCGAGAGCTATTTCGGTCGCAAGATCGCCATTGATGCCAGCATGAGCATCTACCAGTTCCTTGTCAGTATTCCCTTGCTCTTTCTTTCATATATATATGTGTGTGTGTGTGTGTGTGTATATATGTATGTATGTATGTATATGCACCAAAAAAATGGATGTTACATGCAGTTTGATGGGTATGTGGGTTCCTTCTTATTTGTGTGAGTGCAGATTGTGGTGGGAAGAAGTGGAACTGAAATGCTCACTAATGAAGCTGGTGAAGTTACCAGGTTATTATTCCACATTTTTTTTTATTAATTTTCCCTATAACTGTGTAAATTGAATTTCGGTTTTCTTTATTTTCTTCCAGGCTAGACCTTTTTATTCTTTATTTTTGTTTGGTTAAGTATTGTATTTTATTTTTTGATTTTTTGCAGTCATCTACAAGGCATGTTCACTCGCACTATTCGACTACTTGAAGCTGGGATTAAACCTGTGTAATACTTTTATTTCCATAAAATATATTTTTCTTATTTCTTTTGAACGGCTGTCTTTTTATTTTATTTTATTTATTAGCTGTATGCTTTTTGTATATATCTGTGGTTATTGTAAGGCATCATTTGCTAAAGAATGCATTTGCAATATTGCTTGGATCTCTTTTCAGCTATGTGTTTGATGGGCAGCCTCCAGATTTGAAAAAGCAAGAGCTGGCAAAACGGTACTCTTTTTCTTTATCGTAGCATGTAGCTTGGTCCACATGGTTGCTTATCTACCGTCTATAGTTTAGTTGACACTATTTCTCATGTCTAATTTTGGATTGCAGTTACTCAAAGAGGGTAGATGCTACAGAGGATTTGGCAGAAGCCATGGAGGTACTTTTCTGCAGTTGCTCTTTCATTTTGATCACAGTTAGGAAGTTGCTCTTTATACTTTAGCATGAGCTGTTCAGATGATACGATTTTTCAATGCAGGCAGGCAATAAGGAAGACATTGAAAAATTCAGCAAGCGCACAGTCAAGGTGATTCCTTTTCCTATCCTTGCTTTCCATATAGTATGAAGGATGAATTATCTTGAGAAATTATTTTTTGTTTCTTAGTTTTTGGGATAATAGAGGAGGTTTCAAAGGAGAAAATGAAATGGTGCATTCAGGTTGTAATTGCTTCTATTACCACTACTTTTCCAGGTGACAAAGCAGCACAATGAAGACTGTAAAAAACTTTTAAGACTTATGGGTGTCCCTGTGATAGATGTGAGTTTACATTACTCAAAGTAATCCCTTGTGGGGAAAGTGTTAGGTTTTTCATTGATATGGAATAAATTGAAGCTGTGAATGCATGTTTCTATTTCATCAGGCTCCTTCTGAAGCAGAGGCTCAATGTGCTGCACTTTGCAAGTTGGAAAAGGTATGTGTCTGCTTGGGTCACAATTTGTTAGTTTGTAATTAGAGTCCACTGGTATAAAAGGTGAAAATCAAATGACAAATTCCATTTTAAAATAGTTTTTAGTTTACTTTTCAGACATCTCTATTTGTTCAAAGGACCCACTTTTCTATGATGTATATCCTTGGATGGGGATTGTGCTTTGAAATTCACATGTGCTTGTTAGTGATTAGCAGCTGTTTGTTTCAGGTTTATGCAGTAGCTTCTGAGGACATGGATTCTTTAACCTTTGGTGCTCCTAGATTCCTTCGCCACCTGATGGATCCTAGTTCAAGAAAAGTCCCTGTAATGGAGTTTGAAATTACAAAGGTGATTTGACATTGAATATGAGCTAATTGGGTTTTTATTTAGTCTTCTATGCTAATATTCCAATTGCAAGTCTTTAAGATTTTTGAGGAGCCAAATCTTACCATGGTGTTTTGGATCCATTCACTAACTTGTGCATTCTTTGTTTTTCAGATGCTTGAGGAACTGAATCTTACTATGGATCAATTTATTGACTTATGCATTCTTTCTGGATGTGATTACTGTGACAGCATTCGAGGTATTTGGGATTTTCATTTGTGGCATCTGATTCAAAAGGTACATGCTTGGCTTTAGAATTTGTTAATGGATATTTATTTAATACTGTAGGCATTGGGGGACAGACAGCACTAAAGCTAATCCGTCAGCATGGCAGTATAGAGAATATACTGGAGAATATAAACAAAGATAGGTATATTTTTTTCCTCTGCTTTAAAATTATCTTTCTGACTGGTTTTTTTTTCCTTCCTCTTTTTGGCTGTGATATAATAGTTATTTTCACTGAATTATAACTTCTTAGTTTTGGTAATGTTTGTGGGATCTTTAAAAATTTTGCTTTTCTAAGCATCTAATTTTGCATGATAATTAGGTACAAATAATTAACAATTAATAATGTACTCCATATTCTATAATATATTTTGTAACAGAGTTGTCTCTCTAAAATGGGAATTCCCTTCTGACTAATGATCATCAGAAAACTGCTCATAAGATCTCTCAAGCATCTTTACTGCTTCAAAAGAAGAAAAAATAAAAATTGTATTGCTTCTTTTCTGATAAAGTCTTCTTAAGTGATGTAGCCGCCATGTGTCTTTGTTGACCAAATACTTATTATCCTAATTCAGGTATCAAATACCTGAAGAATGGCCTTATCAAGGGGCTCGACAACTTTTTAAGGAACCATTAGTCCATACTGATGATGAACAACTTGATCTTAAGTGGACTGCTCCAGATGAGGAAGTAAGTTTTTGTGAAATTATTATCCTGATTGAATGCTCTGTTCTGTATATTTATTCTTTCTATTGGTTTGTAACTCCTTGATATGTATAAAAGGTTACTTTATTTTACTCTTTTCTATTTTCCAGGGATTAATTGCCTTTCTGGTGAATGAAAATGGCTTCAATAGTGACAGAATAACAAAGGTGTGTCTCTCTTTGTTATGCAAATCTCTCTTACTACACACGCACACACACACATGTATGTATTTATATACATATTGCTTTTCTACATCTAAGTTAGATTAATCATCTATTCATTTCAATGTACTATATATATTAGGCGATAGAGAAAATCAAAGCAGCAAAAAACAAGTCATCACAGGGCCGGTGAGTAACACCTAATCACATTAACTGTGTGTACTTTGCTTGATCCTTTCACTGATTATCCTTTATTTACTTTCTGTTCAGACTAGAGTCATTTTTTAAGCCAGTACAGAGCACATCCGCACCTATTAAGCGGAAGGTATGTATCCATTGAGCATTTTGTGCAACATGCATTTGATAAATGCTACTCTGACTATGGAATCCAATGAAAAATGGTTATGTGTTATTCTTTCTCTGATAGCATTTCAGGATCATGCAACTTCAATTTTCTTGCTAGATCTTCATTAATTGGTTATTCTTAAGGCTATAAGAAATTTGTTTGTCCTATTCACCTTAATCATAGATAAAAGAAGTACTTCCACATGCTATTAAAACTATCAGTGCCTGAGAAAAGGTACTCGTGTAGAAGTGTATGAACCTGGAAGGTTTCTTTATTTCATATGCACAATCTTTAGTTTATGTTTATTTAATTTTTTTTTAATATGAACTACCAAATAAGTGCTTTACAGTTTTGAGAAACTATTTTTTGTGGCGTATCTAGATCCCCTTCCCTCTAAATTTTATGTAAAAAATTAGTATCAAGGCAACTCATCCTTCCATACTTGTTCTTAACTCTTGGAGATCAAAACCTGATTGACTACCATAATTCCTGGGCTTACTGGTTTTCAGGGAACCAAATGCATGCTTCGATCCCCCAAACCAACCTTCAAGTCTAAGATATTCTCACTGCAAGTCTGTAATTTTTCTGAGGCCCAAATGTGTTGGCAGCCAAGGCCTGCCAACACTAGGTCTAGCTTCCAATCACTCAGTGCCTTTTTAAAAGGTGTCTGCTTCAGCACGTGAAGCTGAAAACCTTGGTGAACCTTCAGCCAATCCATGCTCTTCTCTATTCATTCAATATTATAGCTTTCATGTTGTTACATTAATGCTAGGGGAATATAGAATAACTTGCAAATATCATTATCCTCATTTTGTAGTTACTTTAGTAATGTAAAATGTGGGAAGCAACCCTATGTAAAACTTCATACCTTCCTCTCACTGTTCCATTTCCATCTCTTTTTCTCTGGTTTTTCGTTTCGATCCTTTTTTGTAGTTTTAATTTCACAATTGTAATTCGTTTTGGAGAAATGAGCTTTGTAAAAATTACAGTTTTTGTTATCAGGTCTGTTTAGACATTGTCACTACAAACCTTTTGGCATCAGTCTAAGTGTGAAGGTCAAGGGGAAAATGTAGCTATGCGTAGAAATAGAAGGCCAAGATTCCATGAGAAAACTTGTAGTAAATCCCTGCTGTTAAAATCTTTGTCACATTGTTAGGCTGTACTTTTGATATTGAGATCCATATAGGGATTTTGTTTTCCATTTTTTATCTTCTCTTTTTGTCCCTTCGTTTCTTTTTCTTTCGAGGTCTGCAGATATGAGTATGATTTTTACATTGTCTACAATTATGGTTTCTTTGGAAGGCCAAAAAAATCCCCAAAAAACATTGCTGGTTGCAATTTCCAATAGATTCCTAGTGATTATCTGCAGCAAAATGCACAATTACCTTCATTAACTCCCTTTCTACCACTTTTTGTTAAGTTTCCCATGGAGCTTCTTTAGTTATTGTCTGTGCAATCATTGTAGTGGAAAATTGATCCGATGTTTTTTGCCTATGCTTGCCTCTCCCTCTTTGTTCTACGCTCCCTGCATCTCAATCGTGGGGCTGATATTGTCATCAATTGCAGTTTGCTATATAAATTTTTCCTCATTGCCTCAACAGGAAACACCACAGAACACTCGTAAAGAAACTTCTAATAAAAAGTCAAAGGTTGTTGGTGGTAAGAAAAAGAAGTAATCATCAGATGGAATACCTGCATTTTTTCAGGTAAGATTCTCCTCTTTCCAGGAAGTCTTTCAGGTTAAATAATCATGGTTTAGTTATGTATCTACTCAATACATTCTGATCCACATGTTGAAATCCAGGACTTCAATAATATGACATTACATTTTCATCTTCTTTTAACAGCAGTAGTTGTTTTTTTTTTTTTTTTGTTTTCAGGAGGCAGTATGCCAGCCGAGATCATGGATGCTTGTTTGTCATGTTAAAGCTAGGATTTCATAATTCTGGGGACAATTTTTTATGGTAGATGGCTTTTTTCCTTTTTCCTTTTTTTGTTTTTTGGGAACGGCAGATGGTAGATTGATGTAATGTGAATACCTTTACTGCAGCTAAACAAGTAGGTAATTTACTGTGATGTTTGAATCGAGATTCTTTCTTTAGGCATAAACAATATTTACATGTTTTGTGGGCTTATATTCCCTCAGTTCCTTTCAACAGCTACCACCCTGAAATAGCCACGTATGCCCTCTGTCATGTTACCTCTCCGAAATTTTCAAGTTCATATGTAAACATGAAGGCACCCATTCGGAGCTTTGCTGGTCTTTTCTTCATTATCTTGTGGCTTTCAAATGAGTTAGGGCTCTAAATATAATTGCCAGGAGCTTCATTTCTGATGGCACAATTATCTGAAGTGGGTATGAAAGTGATGTGGTCATTTGCATTTTTTATGGATGCACGGTTGATTTGTATGAAGACGCAGGGAGAGTTGAAGAGGCTCTGGTTCTCCTTCTCAGAATTGAGATTGTGATAACAACCTAATAGCTACAGGATGATAGAAAAAAAATTGCAAAAAAGAATAAAAAGGAGCTGAAATAGAATTATCACATCTTATACATTGTTTTGTTTCAGGGAAAAAGAATATTGAATTTAGCTGCCATTTTCCCCCTAGCAGCTTAGTAGTTTACGTAAGTCTCCAAAAATCTCCTATTTGGATGAAGCCCTCAACTCAGACACTATAGAATTTGGTAAAAACCAACAAATGCGAGTAACAAACCGTAGCATGTCCTTCACTTGACATCTTGGATATGGAACATAAGCTGCAGAATGAAAAGATAAACTGGATGGTAAAATCTCTCAAGGATACTTGAACCCCAGCGTTACAATAGAAAGATGCATGACTACAATACCTTTGTTCCAACATAAAATGATACCAGCATGAAGCCCATAACAGGTAGTCCTGCAAAAAGGTGTTGTATTAATACTACCAGTTTGAATGTCAACCAAGACGAGACAAATTAGGATAAAACAGACATGCGTTCATGTACCTTCTTTGGTAAGGAAACGAGAAATCAACCAATTAATGCCTGATGGCCCAATAACATAACCAACAAGGTTTGCGACCTGCATATTGTAAAGAGCTTAATAAGTAATGAAAGCAAACAGTGTTCATGACAAAATGCATTGAAGAGACGAAGACCGTAGCAAAATCAAGGCAAGCAGAGAGTAGACATAATTTTCAATTAATTCCTCTAGCAGCCATCAAAATTAAGCTTGCATCATACATTAACACATGTCAATAAAATATTCTGACATGCATCAGAATGTGGAAAATCAGAATAAAAAAAAAAAAGGAGAAAAAGAGGGAAGAATATGGCTAATGCCCTGGACTTACCATGAGACATGTTATTGTGAAAGCACCAGCAACAGCACTAAATTCTCGGAAAACAAATTCCCCTAAGGCACCCTCAGCCTGGCAACAAAGTGTATCAGAAAAGCTTGACAATCATTTGGAAGGCATGCAAGACATTGGCATGTTAACCTTGTGTAACATTAATGAACTGAAAGAAAAATCCTTGAAACAACTAATTTGCTAGTGTGCCAGCATGCATATGATAATAAGTGAAGAGTCAAATAAAATTGCTGCCAAGCATCTTAACTGTAAATCCTTAATGGAACAGTGCTTCCCTTCGATTGTAAATATAGATTCTAGGCTAATCCAACAACATGCATAACGTCTACATGCTAATAGTAAATTAACAAGGATAAACAACTTTTGGTGTTGATTGAGCTCAAGAAAAGAATATCTACAAATGTTAACTTCAGGTTTAATATGCAAATTTCTTCATCTGGAAGCCCTGGTTTTACTGGTCATTAAGAAATGCATACTCTCCAAAATGAAACTAGTTTTGACTTCATCTGAAAGGTTAACATTGCGCCACGAAAATGTTGAAAAGGTTACTTCCTCACAACAATAACAGAGGTCTTTTCAGCAACAAGCAAGGTTTAAATAGAGAGAGAGAATGTTTATTACTTAACACCCTGGTAACAATACTGTGATAATGATTATTAAAATAATAATCACCTTAAATGCATGGGCTGCTGATTTCACCACCATTTCCGGAACAAAGAATAAACATGTTAGCCATGCCCAGGAAAGAAGTTTCCTAAAGGGAAAGCCAGTACCAACCAGTAAACAAATAGGGTACTCAGTCAGAAAACATAATAACGAAAGGAAAATAAGATAGAAGCTAATAATACCATTCTAAGTCATGCCATATTGCTACAAATGTGAATACAACCCAAACATTGAGTAGTTTTCTCCGAGATCCACCGAGAGGAATATACATGTACCTAAAAGTAAAAAAATTTGTAAAGTTAGCAACCCAGGACAAGAATTGAAGAAGAAAACAATGGTAGAAGCGTTGAAGAATGAAAACCTCACGATCCACTTGTTGAAGGAAGCATGCCAATTTTTCCAAAAGTCTTCCAAGTTGTGGCAGTTATTAACACACTTTGGCATGTTCTCAGGCACCTCAATTCCAGAAAGCTACAGGGACCAAGGTAAATAAGTAAATTGACAGTGTAGATACCAATATAAAATTTAACTCATAAACACAATGCAGAATAAGTAGTATACAGGGACTGAACCATCTAGGAGGAAAGACAAAAGGCTGCAGTTTTAATGAGAATCTAAGGAAAAATATTACACTCTCAACAACCATACCAGTGACCAAAACCGAAAATAGCGCCAAATAAGGAGAAATTTTAGCCACATGAAGTTTATCACCTGTTACAGCATAAGAAATATCATTAATAAATATTGCTGAAAATATGCCTCAATGCTTGTAAAGCTTGTTGTCAACTAGAAAGGGTAGTTTGACAAAAAAAAAAAAGATTGTGTGGCTTCCAAGAAATTTTAGAATTTCTTGAAAAATAAATCATGAAAGTCAGATGCATAATTCTGTTGATAAAAATATTAATAACATAGAGAATATCTTTAGTGAGTCATATGTTGCTTTTTTCTTTACAATCATAGAGCATATCTTTTTAATATGTTTTGAGGATAGAAAGGGTATTTTAGCAAACATAAGCTCTCTCCTAACTAGCAATTTGAGGGAGACACAACCCCCCAACACTACTGTTAGTTGCACGCCTGTACTGCTTGTAACTTCACATTGTGGAGACTATACCACACTTAACAAATAAATACATAATATAAAGAAAATTAATTGCTGAGAAATAATTGGATCCACAAACTCTTTATATAGTCCTCTTACCCCGTATCCAATGATGAATATGTCCATAGGAGACAACAATTTCCATGAGCCACTGGCCAGTGCAGAAACAAATTTTAATAACTAGACAATGTGTCTGGAGTAACGTGTTCTAAATCAAAATTTATCCTTATCCTTGAGTCATAAGAATTTACCTGACGGCAAAGGCATTATAATAAAACAGATGTGTCATTAGTTCCATAAGAGACAGACTGAATACCCAACGTAATCCATACCAACTCACATCCCTAATTGAGTAATGATTCTGAGGCAAATCTAACTGCAATATGGAAGTAAAATTAAATTAAGCATTTTTCTAGGAAAAAAGAGTGTCAAATGAAAACAATTGGAGTGCCAATAGACATAAAGTGAAATGAAAAGTGGGAAAGCTGACAGAAGCAGAAATAAAAACAGCATACAAAACAATGGGAGAAACTCAACAGGATTTGGACTGCTCATACATTTTAGCTGCTCTTCTCACCATAAACCTAATTGCATCAATTAGGTGTTATGTAGCATGTATTTAACATGCAACCTTTCAATCACTAGCTACTAAACCAACAATGCTGTGACCACTATATTATTTTTCCAGCTTGCATAGTCAATAAGATCTATGTTTACCGCCATAACACTAATTTATATGAAATAGCAGACCATGGATACACTTTCACCATAAACCTTATCACCACACACAAAAATAATAAATAATAAGAAAAGGTAAAGCAACAATGAACAGGAGTACTTCTGCAAGCAGAAGAGGTGGAGGAGGAGAAAAGGTATTATTTGTCAAAGTAGCTAACCTGTAAGGCAAATGCCTTGAAACTTATTATTGGCCCAGCAATGTAAAGGGGTGCATATACCAGAAAACTGAGGTATGTAATAAAAGAAAAGCTGAGCGTGTGACTGTTTCCCTCCTGGATAACACAAATGAATTTGTCAGTGGTTCAAGTTTAACCTTCAGAAGATAAAATGAGAAGTTAGGTTCATACTTAGCTGCTGACCTGTAGAGCTTGGTAACAAGTTTTTCCTGATTTACAAATATGGCATCGCTGAATGTGCTTCTGCAATAATCAGAACAATAAAAATTCTGAAAAATGCTAACAATTTGATAAAGTTCCATTAAAGATATTTTTGGAAATATGCAAAACAAATTCTCGACTAAAAATGTCATGCATAAACCTGAAAATCAGAATGTTTCTGAGAAAAATGGAACACCTGAAGGCCTTTCATGAATACAGTAATCAATGCAAGGTTACTTCACAGTAGGGAGGACAGGGATATGGTTGGCAACCAGCATTTCAAGGTTGGAAACCCAAAAAAGGTCAAGGCCTAAGTAATTACAACCACACAGCTAGGAAAGTAAATGCATAATGAAATCGACATAAACTTAGGCAGTCAGTAAGCAAATGCAAAATGCAAAACTGTGAATACAAAGGAAACTAAAAATTGGGGGGGGGTGTGAATACCTCTTTATCAAAATGAGAATCTCGATGTGCCCAATGGTAATCATATCCAAAGCTTATCATACGCAAAACAACTGTCACAAACAAAAATAGACTAGAATGAATGCTTGTATTGAAGCAAGGTAAATGTATTGTTAGAAAAGTTTATCAATTTGTGATGCAAAAGAAATACCAAAATTGAAGCAGATGTGCCACCTAAATGTTCCTCGAAAGTTATCCAAATATCCCCACCATTGGCTGCACATGATGGAGAAAAACAATTGTCAAAAGCAGAGGTAGCATGATATTTGCTACAAAACTTGGGAGAACCACACCACAAGAGCTAGCTGAGAGGTGGGAGAGCCCAAGGAGATATAAACACCACATCAGAATCCCATACTTCCGATGTAGGATCCAAGTCCTATACATAATAACTAGCATTGTGACAATATTCTCTCTCATACAGGTACACGGCTATACGAGGAAAGGTAGTCCAACTGTGTAAAGCAATAAATTATTTGTTAACTAGCTGAGACTACTCACCCAAATGCAGAGAATGAATAACCTTCATAAACACGATTACATATAAGGAAAAATATGTTGAAAGTCCAAACTACAAATGGGAAGAACTTTGTCCGTGCAAATATCTGCAGAAACACAAATCTAGTAAAAAATGGCAGATATTAGAATCATTTATGTGCAATAATTACAATTGATGTTACACCAGCACGTTTCAGTGACTGATAGAAAGTTAGATGAGCAGACCTTTACGAGAAGAAAGTTAACCGAACCAATTGACAGGATAAATATGATGCTACCAAAATGAGAAAAAGAAGTGAGTTAAAAATTGACGAGGAACAAGCAAATTAGAAGTATTTTCAAATTTCAACGAATAGAATTAAAGAAAAAGCTTACCAAGCTCCATGCAAATAAGATAGGTAAATCAAAGAAATTAAAAGCCAGACAATGGACATCCCCCGCACTTTCAAACTAAAGCACGCCCTCAGTGTATTGGCTAGAACAGTGAAAAACGCAAAAACTATGGTAAGAATGGGTAAATTTGCACGGAAGTTTTTCCACTGGGCATCAGAGACATCCTGCATTGAAGAAGAAAAGTAAGCACTATACTATATATAATTCAGAGAAGAATGTAAGGGTAGCGGTTAAATCATTCCATTCTAACATAGGAGAAAATGCAGAAAAAAAAAATACTGAAAAAGCAAAAAACATAGACAGGGTGGAGAACGAAGAAGGGAAATGGAAAAGTAATGACATTTATTATTTATCATTGAAGGAGAGGGTTGTGTTTTCCCAAATTAATGTTGGGTTGATGAAAATGAGGTAAAATGCACACGATTTTATTTTGTTTGTACTCAAGAAAATATATTCATTGATCTTCACATATGGATTGGAAATTGGAATAGAAGAAAGGGGAGAGGGAGAGACTGACATTTGGGAATGGGTGGGGAGGAAAGAGCCATCCACTGCGCAAGCCGTAGAGCTTGGTGTAATGATCTGCGTAAAACTCAGATGGTCAACGTTGAAGTTAAGAGTATGTACCTCTGGAAATAGTTAAATTTGAGAAGGAATTAGAGTGTGTACCTCTGGAGAGCTGAAGAGAGCGACGAATGATGAAAGCGTAGAAAGCAATCGCATATAGGATGAGAAGGCAGAGCTCCTTCTGCTTCCATCCGTTTCCATTAATGCTTCTACTCTCACTCTTCATGCCTGCCTGCGGGAAACCTAAATCAGATTTCAATCATCAACCCAACCACAACTAAAATCGGAGTCAGTCCAGGCAATCGGAAAAACAAGACGATGACACAGAGGAAGGGCAAGAGTATTTATTTAGGGCATGTTTGGTTAGAGTGTCGCCGATAGGAAAAATGCTTAGGGAAGTATTGTAATTGTTGAAATTTTTAGTGAAAATTTAATGAGTTATAATATTATTTTTTTATTTGATAAGAAATTTATTGAAAAAATGGATACAAAAATTATTAAATGAATGGAGTGAACTTATTTTTCTTATAGTATGAAAAAAAAATTATTAGTTAAAAATTAAATTAAATT